TGTTGGACAATGGAAGCCTGTTGGTGACTGTAGAGGTGACTTGCAGCTCCACAAATGTGGGGCTGTTTTGGCAGTCTGCTTACTCTGGGTGCCTCTTACCATGGGGGAAATATAACTCAGAAATTACTAATTACACACGAGGACTCTCAAATCTTGACGGTGAGATCATTTGCTTGTAGTGAATAGAAAACCTTGATGAATATATTTTGGGGTCTTTGGTGAGAATTATCTGCTGTGGAAGTGGTCAAAACAGTGGAGTGTCAGGATGCAGAGAAGCACTGGCAGGATAGTATTGGGCAGTTCTATAGACACAGGGAAGGGAGTCTTTATTGCCATCCTTCCCCGATATTCCTGGAAAGACGCAGAATGGCAGGGCTGGGAGGAACGATAGCAGCTGAACTGTGCAGCTGATGAAAATTTCATGCAAGTCTGTGGCTGCAGGTTTCCAGAGAGAAAGCTGCTGCCAAGTTGCCGCATACTCTGTGCAGTGCTTTGATGTTGGGTTGGCTGTGCCACTTTGAACTGGGCTCCTGGGGCTGCTGGTGCAGACAGGTGTGAGCATCAGTCCAGAGCTCATGAGAGTAAGAGATTCACCTGCTCTTGAGGCTGAAGGCTACCATTCTGGCCAAGGAGCCATCTGAGTAGCTGTAGGTGTGGATCGTGAAGTCAGGGAATTCTGCCTGCTTTCCTGGAGCCACAGTGGCAGATGGAGTTGCTGTCTAAGCTCACAGAGACCTTATGAGACAAGTGTTTTTCCTTCTCCCATTTCACAGATAGGAAAGCTAAGCCTTCGGACACACTAATGGTTTCAAAAGTGGCAGTGAGAGTCTTTTGGGAGCACTATGGTCCATGTGTTCATCTCTTATCCCTCAGTGTTTCCTGTAAGCACATGGTCCATTCAACAGAGTAGCCAGCTCCATGCCTCTCTCCAGGGTTTCCCAATTTTCACATAATTCACTGTGCTTCCCTTCTCATGGTGCCATGTGAGGTAGGACGTCTAGTATTGAGAGCATGATCTTTGAAGTCAAACAAAACTGAGTTCCAATCCTGGTTCTGCTTCTCACTATCTGTGTGGCCTTGTGTAGTAAATTTGTCTCTTCAGTTTCACCAACTATAATTTAGGGATGGTGATTTGTGCCTGTTTTAGATGGTTACTGCAAGGGTTCAATGGAATAAATAAAACCTGGTCAGGTTGGCACAGTGGCAAACACATTCTAACCACTCAAAAAGTGGTAGTTCCTATTATTGTTGTAATGATTATTATTAATATTACTCTTACCCTGATTTTTAAATTTGATTTCAATTTTTGAGCTTGCACCTCAGTTTGATTCAAGTCTTGAATCTTACATCAAATTTCAACTCAGCTGTGGTGATCCAAGTCATGAAACCTGCTTGCTCATGGGGTGACTTGGGGCCTTAGGAGATGTGGGGTGAAAACATCAGACAGAAGGTCCTCTTATACTTCTCCTGTAGCCCGACCCATCCCTCTGAGGCCTTGCAACATCATCCTTGCTGGTCCCAGGTCCCTGAAGCCTCCTGAGTTGGAGTCGCGGTTAGGGAGCTACCCATTTCACCTTCCTGGGAAAGCTCCAGTCACAGAGCCTGCAGTTTGAGTCTAAGGGGAAGAAGTTTGGGAGTTGCAACCCAGATACAGACTTGAAAAGCCAGCAGAAATTGAATTGTTGTCTTTCCTCATTCAGTAGATGTTTATCACATCTCTGTTGAAAATAGACATTGCTCTAGGCATTGAGGTCTTACCTTTAGGCTACTCAGCCTTGCGGTGTCTAAGTGGCTGAAGAGTAATTGGCTGCTGTGGTATAGGCAGCTGGGGGACCCGGGGGTGTGGCAGGTGACATGGTTGGATTAAGAGTGATTGACGGCAGGGAAGGCTTCCTACAAGAAGCAGTATCTAAACTGGGGTTGGATAGAGCAGTAAATGTTAACAATGAAAGCCATGGAGGTGTCTTTCAGGCAGAGGAGGGACATCACAGGCAGAGTTTTGGAGGTAAGGAAGGAGTGGGCTGTCAAAGACCCCCAAATCAGGTCATTTACAGCTGGAAGGAAGCCTGTGAGCTGGTTCCCCAGGGCCTAGGCCTTGGGGTCCAAGCAGCACTTGGTTTGAGTTCGGGAGCCATTCCAGTTTTTTAAGCACGGGAGTGATGTGACCAGGATGTCCTTTAGGTCACTGTAGGGACTGCGTGGAGAAGAGGCTGGGTAGGGGCCAAGGGAAGCAAAAGGCTGGGCAGGGCACATGGCACTTATGGAGGATGAACTGGAGGCCTGAACAGAGAGAAGCTGTGTTGATGTGGAGAAGTGGGATGATGCAAGAGAGATCTGGGGCTGAGAGCAGAGAGGATGTGTTCGTTGCCTGGATGACAAAGGGAAGGAAGAGAGAGGAGTCCATCCTGTGGCCTTGGTACTTGCCTGGGCAGCTCGGTAAACAGAGGTCCTAGGTACTCAGCTAGAAACACCTCAGCTGGACTGCATGGGTGGAAGACAGAGATGACTGTGGAAAGCTCCAGAAGCTGGGGGAATGTCTGGTGTTCTTTACCTCATATGCTGCTTATAGTACGCCTGACTTTCCCTTAGTCCCCCAGGGCATTATGACTGACTTAGTGTGGGACCTTCCACACTGGGAGCTGTACATTAGAGTCATTTGAAAAGCTTTCACAATATCCCAGAGTGGAGGCCACACCCCACGCCCCTGTCTGCATCTCCTGCCTCAGTGACTGGAAATCTCCTCAGTCCTGTGTTCAACCCAGGATGGGAAACACAGCTGTCACCAGTCTCTCAAGCTGGCACCTCCCAGACAGGACAAGTGGCAGAGGGCAAGGCGAATGGTCCTTGTGGGTGATCTTTTCTCTGAAAGGTAACAGCTGTGTGCTCATGGAGACCTGCCAGGCATAGAGAGAGGGGGCCATTCTCAGAAAGATGGTGGGGCCTAATTAACTTGGGATGTGTGATTCTTGGACAAGACTGGGCCTCAGGCCAGTATAATTGGTTCTTTCTGAAAGATAAAATTTTAGATGCTCTAAGATGACAAGAGCCTTGTTCAGTGTGCCATTGAGACAGAACTTTTCAGGGTTCCTCTATCTCCTTTTTGTGTGCAAACTGATGATTCAAAAAAAATATTGCCTGTTCAGGCCCAGGCACCTTATCAGAACACAGTGAATTGTAATTGAAACTTTAATTTGTGTACATTTATGTGATACATAATACCTTATGGTGGTTCAGAAACCACACTTTGATGACCAAAACACTCCATTGGTGTAAGTATTATCTCTTTTTAATAAATATATTCTATTTAATAGTTAGGGGGTTACTGAACATTGCAGAGTGTGAATCTGGCCTTTAAACAGATATGCCTGCAACTCAACTTTTTAAGTTCTTCTGAATTTTTTTCTAAACCATTCTTCATACATGAGATTAATAATTATATGCATGTAAAATATTTCATAATTATTTTTCTCAGTCACAATTGGGTTTTCCCTTGGATCTAATTGGTAAAATTCAATGTACAAGAAGTCACATTATTAGAATTTATTTATTTTTTATTTTATTAGTATCTGTGTGCAGTTCATGCAGTTTACAGTCTTCTTGGGGAATGGTTACATGTGTGTACCATAGTTTGTTTCTTTTTTAAAAAAATTCTTTTCCCCTCCCTTCCCCTCCCTCCATCCTCCTTCCTTCAACTCCCCTGTCCCATTTTGCATTCTTGCTAATAATATTCATCTTAGTTCATGTTATGGCCTATAATGTTTACATTAATTGAGGTTATTTATATTGTTTCCACAAAGCCTAATGTTTCTCTCCATGTACCTGGGACATCCAACTACCAGAAGCCTCTGGAGGTATACATTAAAGTGTGTATGTTTTAATAATTCTATGTGGCCAATAACATGCTAAGTACTTTAAATCAATGTCACAAATCAGTGATCATCCTTCAAGGCAGGTTCAAGTGGTCTTGTTTTTGGGGATAAAGAAGTGACTTAGAGAAGCCAGTGGGTTGTGGAGGGCCACATGGCTGGTAACTGCCAGAGCTGGAATTTGAACCCACATCTACTTCAAAGCCTGCCCTGTGCATAGCATCTCCTCTGCCTTTAATTCCATGGTCTGGGCTTCTTCTCTTGTTCTTAGATACTGAGAAAGTTGCTCTAGGTTAATTCAGATAACTTGATAACTTTGCTAATAAGGTCAACGGATTGGGTGGTTTTGAGTCTGGGGAGACATACTCTGTTTTGGTCATAGTATAAATGGGACATCATATACCCAGTTAGATTCCCAGAAGAAAAATCCAAATTCAGAACATAGTTTTAGGAAGGAACCTCAGACTTATGTTTTTCTCTCTTTGAGCAAAGAACAACCTGGTGTATTACTTCTTTCCACTCCAGGTTGGATGCACTTACAAAGAGACAAAGTCTCCGCAAGGGGAGAACCCTTTATGGAGATTATAATCCTTTGATCAGCTGGAGAGACATGCCAATCCATTTCATTACACATATTCCCTAAGACGATAAAGCCATATCTTTCTTATTTTGGAGCAGCAAGGCAAAATGATTTTTTTCCCCAGAAGTATAGAAGGTCTGTTACTCTTGGTCTTTGATGTCATCTTGGATTTTTTATTGAATTTTGCTTGGTCTGATGGCATAGGCAATTACTTATTTGAAATTCTCATAGATGGTAATAATGGCTGAGTATCTGGATTTCATCATGATTTTGCTAACTGTTCTGCAGTAGTGCATAAATCATTGAGAATACTCAGATTCTTTCTCCCAGTTCTGTTTTTCTGAACTTCACATCCTTTCCTATAAACTCGGTGAATGTTGGGACCTTTTCAAAGGAATGATGGTAGGTGACTTAAGGGACAATATTTGGCTATGGTCTTTCTAATGTTATGAGAATTTAAAAATTAGATGCAATTATCAAAAATGTATACGTTTCTTCCTATTGTTTGATATGATTCTTTTATTTTTTCTCATTTATAATGCTTTCGTACTCAGGAAGTTGAGGTAGGTTTTTGACTTTTCAACTGTATGTAGACATAGTATCAAAATAGTTGCCAAATAAAATGTAAATTTTATCCTAAATCTTAAATCTCAGCGGTAGATATTTGCTTTTGTTCAGTGAACCAGTACCACACACATTTGTTTTTCATTGGTATATCCAGGGGCTCCAATTTATCAAATGCATATAAACAGTCCATTTGCTGCTTTATCTTTTCTCATTAGTTGCAGTACAAGTATGATTGTCAGTTATTATCTGTGTTTTACTGGCGAGTTATTTATTGAAAGAGCAGAGCAACTGACATTGTTATTTTCTAAATCATTTCGTCTAAGGCCTGCAGGACTTTATACCAAATGTCAGACCAATTTATCAAAGAATTGCGCTATTCAGGATGAAAGTGATTTAGAGTGTGTGTATAAACATACGCCCACCTGTACACACACCAGTAACAGTTATGGGAATTTCACAGGGACTACAGAGATTGCTAATAAAGCTGGAACAGCTTACTTATGTTTGATGCAATTCAGCTACAATTTATTGTGTGCTGATGAATAATATCTTAGGGAATATGCAGGTGAGTAAGATGCACCCCTGTTCGGAAGTAGCCTAGGTCCCGGAATGTGGGCATTGGCGGTTGGGGTAGGGGTGATATGTGTGGATAGAAAAGGATTAATGCACATGGCTCCCAGACCCTGGTGGACAGGGGTCTCACGAGTGTTGTGTGGGAGGCCTCAAAGCACTGCCCAATCGGGCAGGTGCTTGTGCCATTTCATAAAAGGTTTGTACCTTACGGTAGCTTGATTAGTGTGGATTTTCACTGCACACAGGTTAAAATGACAAGACTATGCCACATTATATAGAGATGCCCTCATAGAACACTGTCTAGAAATCTCACACATTTCTAGTGATTTATCATTTTAAGGACACCGCTCTGACCCACCAGCCAGACCTTCCTCCTGTTCCCCTTAGTCAGCTAGCCTGAAAATGAACTAAACCAGTTTGCTCTGAATCTCCTTAATAGCAATTTGGGCACAGTCCCTCTGTTGGTCTCTTTCTAAAGGTTTTGGGTATGGTAAAGTGTACTCTGCCTACATGTAGAATCTATAAATCTGTCCTTAGTTTCCTTGAGCTCACAGGAAGTGCTTTTCCTGCTTGAATTTACTTGCAGTGGACTCACACATGACCCCAGAGTGCTTTCCATGCCCTCACTGCACCTTGCTTCCTTCTGTACATGGTGTTGCTCAAGCTTGGTTAAGCCAAATGAACATCCAATTCATTTTCCAGGTTAGTAATTTGTATTATCTCAGGTAGTCTTCAGATGGAACTGCAGGGTTCAAACAATTTAGCTGAAATATATATGAGGGAGAAATTATCTGTTTCATGTGAGCTAAACATCTTTGACCTGTGGTATCTGAAGCCATGGTATATAATAAATTACACCCTCATCTTCATAATTATCAGTCAGAACAGTTGGGTTTCTAGAGTGGCTTCAGTTTGGATTTGCCCCTCCACTCTTCCTCAAAGTAGGAGCTAAAATAAGCACCTCTTGAAAAGCAAATCCCTGAGGAATATTTGAACAAAATTGTAATCCATCAGCTGTTAGCTGTGGCACAGGAAAAGAAAATCCATGTTCATATTGAAAATGAGCTGGAATCATAGACTTTCTCATTGATTAGACTCATATGTGGTGAAGAGGCTCAATCACCCACATTGTAAGAGGAATGTTTTGGCAGCATTTGATATTAGGCAGACTTAAATATTTCATTGAAAGATGCATTCTAAGGAGTAGTTTCGTAGTGTGTGTGGTACTGGGTATTGAACTGAGGGCCTTCGCATTGAGTTATGTCCCCAACCCATTTTCAATTTTTCTTACATTGAGATAGGGTCTTGCTAAGCCTACAATTGAACCTGGGATATTCCTGCCTCAGTCTCCCAGAGTGTGGAATTACAGGTGTGTTCCATGCCTGAACTGTTCTTCATATATATAATCATCCTTTAATATTTGTGAGAGACCCCTGAGGATACCAAAATCCATGGATGCTCAAGTTCTTCATATACAGTGGCATAGTATTTGCATAGGACCTATACACACCCTCCCATGTACTTTAAATCATCTCTAGATTCCTCATAATACATAATAAAATTGTACATGTTCTATAGATAATTGTTACAACATATTAAGGAATAATGACAAGGAAAAATCTGTTCAATAATGACATTTTTTCAAATGTTTTACAATATTACTATTACATATTAATATATCTTCACTAATGTCTACTGTATATCTGATATATATAGATATATGTATCTATCTACTTATCTATTTATCTAGATTTTTCTTTGCAACTGACGCTGATCAGCACAGAGCCTTTCTCTAAAGTAGTTAAAAACCCAGAGTTAATTCCTTTTCACCAGCTACTGGGAGTCAATTTTATAGGATTCAGTACTATGTTAGTGGATACTTAGTGAGATAAATGGAGAAATATGGTTTTACTTGTGATTACAGAGGATAAAGAAATAATTATAGCCATAGTCACTAAGAGTATCTGATTCTACTCTGCCACCAGTGCCATATCTTTCCTTTTTACTCATCCTGGTCACATGATTCATCACTTTCTTATGCTGGTCTTCATGGTGACTTTCAGGATGTTTTCTGCTGCCCTGGAATACTTCATGCATTATTTCAGACATCAGTCAATGTACTTGAGTTTGAGCCACTGTTTAAATTGATTGTTTCTTTCAGATTTTTAGCAGTTCCTAAAATAGAGTTGGATAAGTTTCACTTATGACATGGTACAGGGAAATGGAATCAGCCCTTCTTATTGTGGGTTAGCTGGAAGTTAGAGCAAGACTGTTCTTTGCTCTGCCTTGTAAGAGGCCTGGCATAATTACAGTCTGCAGCATAGTCTATAAAATATACATGTGCAGTAACATTGCCACCTTTCAAGGCTCAGTCTGTGAAATGCATTAATGGGAGTTACTGAATTTAATAAATGACCATATTTAGATATGCATCTTTCTAGTTAGTTTTATGTTTTTAAAATTAGTTGTTACTGGGATATTTTCAAGTCTTTTCTTTAAAGCCACATTTTTAGATAAGATTAAAAATGAAGAGGCCAACTCAAACAGATATACTTACCTGTAAAGTTTCATCTACCCAATTTTCCTTTCACCACATTCTGAATTTCAACAGGCTGCAACTTGCTTGGGCCAGAACAAGGTCAGAGATAAAGGCTCCTAAAGTCCTGCACTTTGCTAGCATCTGGAGTGAATTCTGAAATCTGTACAGCAAGAACACAACCTCATGTAATTGAGCTTTAGGGTGGTGAGGGTAACAGGCACACTGCTTCCTGGAGCGGAGACTGAGAGAATTGCCAACAAAACATAAGTTCTGTATGTTTCTATTTAAATAGAAAGATAAAAGGCAGGCTTGGCTAGTGGCCTCTGGATCCTGGGCCCTAGAGAAGTGACTAGCTTTGGCATTGGCAGAGTGTTGGTTCAGGACTACAGAGAGTTGTCCCGTGTCCCACAGGCACCCTGAGTGGTAGGTGAGCCACAAGAATGGGCAAATTCTCAGGAGGTGAAGCTTTGCCCAATACATTCTTTTATCTTTAGCTTTTTGTGCATGAATTCAGATGCTGCCTCACCAGAAATCCTCCCATACATGAATGAATTAATTGAAGCAGCCCCAGACTCTATGAATTTACTGTGTGGCTGGTAGGTGTGGCACAGTGTTCACGAGTACTCCTGCGTCTCACACTCTGACACTGACACAACAATGACTGCTAAAAAGCCCCTTCCCTAGTCCTCATTGGCATTCCCCAAGTGGGCTGTGCTGTGTAGAGTACTTCACACATATTCACAGTCCTGGCCCCTGATAGGGGGTTTTCCATCAGCTATAGCCAAAGCCATAACAAAGGTTTTATCAACTCCTGGCTCATTGGTTTTTGCTTTGACAGTCTACTTTTGTAAGGCAGGGTAGAAGCATTCAGATACAGGGAATAATTTTCTGTCCCTGCTTGGCCTTGCAGGTCAAGGGACTGTTTGAAGGGCTTATTTTGTATAATGAGTTTTTACTCAAGGTATACTTTCACATTTTGCAGTAATTAGGCACTATTATTACATTTGCAATGAATTTTAAATATTCTGATGGAGCTACCTGCTTTTAGAGGCTTTACACTTGAAACTGATTTTCCCCAAGAAATACATAAAAAAGGTAATTATAGTTAACCTAGAAAAGTGACAAGGTCCAGAATAATGCTTCACATTCCATCCAAGTTATGAAATATGTTGAAATCATTGAGGAATAGTTCATTCTTGAGCCTTGCTACAACTTTTCTTTGACATCAAAGAGAATGTGGCATGTGAAATTAAAGTAAAGGAACTTGTCTTTGGCTGCAGCCCTTCTTTGTCGGACACACATCTTAAGCTTCCAAGGGTTTCCAAGTCCTAGAACGGCATGTTCAAGTAAAACTATATTACAAGATTCCATACGGCCAATAGACAAAATGCTGTCCTCTATGTGTGGAGAGAGCATTGATGAACCACAGTGAGAAAGGATTTACTATTTGTTCCTTTTTTCCTCCAGTGATGAGAATGTCATCTTGGGTTATCTTTCCTCTTACCCTTGTAATAACAGAATCAATTGGTGACATGGTTATATAAGGCTAAGAGTATACTGGCCATCATATTGAGAAATCAAATCTTAAATTTTCTACATATCATCTAACCCCTTACCTCAAATTCATTTAACACTGGTTGCCTAGTTTTAGACAGCACAATTCCAAAACATTCAGATTATATTAAAAATAATAAATGGAGAGAAATATTACATAGAGATTTTTTAAACTTTCTCAGTGATGTTTCATGGTGTGGACAGCGAAGGCTCCCTAGTCAGTTGGGTACAAGGCCACTAAGGCCATAAAATTAAGGCGAGTAAAGTGGGCCAATTCCTTGGAGTTAAAAATAGTTTAATGCTGAATTTCCAGGATCCAGAGGAACCTGTTCATGTTTATTCATGCTCTGGAAAATGAAATCACTGGCCAAGAAGCAATATGTTCTGATTTTACTCTAAATCCAGTTTCCTAAAATCTATTTAAGGACTTAGGTGAACTCAACCAGGATCTAATAAAGCCAGGTAATTGAACAACACAGAGGCCGATAAAATTCACAGGAGATTTTGTTGGAGATAAACTGCAGCAAGAGACAGCATGGACAGTAATGTAAACTAATTGTGTAGTATGATATACATTAACTTTTCCAGCAGAGAAATAGAGGCCTCATTTTGGACAGCTTTGTGAAAATGTCTGCATTGTGCTGAGGTTCCATCCCAAACCCCCACGTTATATGAACTGGATATTAACTAAAAAGAGGCCAGTACCCTAGAGGTGTGGGGATGACGTGGAGGAATAAATGACACTCTTCTGCTGGCAAACTGTGCAGTTTTGCTGACATTGTGTGTGTCAGGGACTAGTGGGGCCACACATGCACAGGGGCAGGCTCAAGCAAGCACAGTGGAGGTTTGGAAGGATGGGGAAGAGGTTAATATAACTATGATGGAGTGGCCTAGGCAATGGGAAGGTAATGAATTCCCCAGCTTCCAAGCATCACTTGATGCACAGTACAGGCAAAAAAGACATGGCAACGAATACACCAGGCTGGGCAGCCTTTGTTTTTCCATCATTCTGTATGCAGAGAAATGGTAAAAAGCTAAACTTATGCCAGTGGTTATTTCTAACATTTGAATCACCCTCTGTTTTTATGTTTTGTGAGTGTTGGAAAACTGGAACTGTGCACTACAAGATACATGTCTCCATGTAAAAGAAATGTTGACAGCTGAATTATCAGCTGTTAAAAACACAGAGGCTTAATCACAGGTGGAAACAGACAGGCACCACCTGCAGTAAATTGATAGCAAATACCTTGCACTCACTCTAAAGTGCAGGGGTTTGTATGTTAAGCCAAGAAGCACAATGCAGTTTCCATATATAGGGGTGAAATATTTATACTATTTCCAGTGTTTAATATGTAAAATTTGAAAGACAAGAATTTGAAAAGAAAATAGGTATTTTCGATTGCACATTAATACATGTTTGGGGAAAGATTTTTAAGCCGAATGTTTTCCTTTGTATTTTGTGAAATTGAGAGAAAGACAAGTTTTTATACAGTTATGTGAGAAGCCTCCTGATATCTGACCTTTGTCTTATATTTTTTCCTTTTGTAGGATGATTATTTCAGAAACTGGAACCCCAACAAGCCCTTTGACCAAGGTAAAGAATGTAACATTTCTTGCTATGTAGTCCAAAGGAAATGCTATTTCATTTTTAATTCCTTGTGTTCCAAGTTAATCCTCCAGAAAAGCCCACTAGCTGTCCTACTTTATTGACTTTGGGGACTGAATTGAGTGGAGTGTTAGAAATTATTTTATAAAATTGGTTATTTGCATTATGTCTAGGACAAATTTAAACAATTTTTAAATTGAATTGACTAGTACAATTATTGATTTTGTTTAAAAAATAGGGAAATGGTTATCAGACTAACCTGGTGAATTGCAGGGCTGAATCTTGGGCTTTTTTTCACAGGACACACTATGCCTAGAGTTTTTCCCCAAATCACATGAACCATAGAAATGAAACCTTTTTCTCCTAAAAAAAAAAAAGATTAATCCTGGAAATTTTTGAGGTAAATGATACTTTATTTGTTACAAAATAAAGTATCCAGTCACTGACCGCTTGGGGTTAAGCCTGGTTCTCAGAAGGCTCTTTCAACCCACACCAGCAAGCATAGATCAGAAAGGCTGTCTTAAATCAAACCGTTTTCTTGTGTGAGTTACACAGTGTGCACCTACCACAAGTCCTGTTCTTCTTCCCATTGCTCCATGTGGGGCTGCTCTTGGCACAGATCCTGCTGCTGAAAATGATGGTAGATTATACTTCAAGTCCATGTATGTAATTAATTCTGAAACTCTGAGGAAAAATACTGCCTACATGTCTCAAAGTGCTACTGCTTCTCAGAATGAGCTTCACTTCCAAGAGTTGAGTATTCCATGTGATGATGGTGGCCACCTTGGAGGGAGGCATTCATCTGTAATGTTATGTATGTTATTCACCCCTTCTGTCCTAAGGTTTGTCACTTTAATGGGTCATTCCCTGTGGACTTTGTGTTTTTTTCTTTTCTGGTATCTGGAATCAAACTCAGGACCTTGTACTTGTCAGGCAGGTGTGGCACCACTGAGCTACATCCCTGGCATGGACTTTGGTTTTCTTACCAGCAAAATTAGTATTACACATTTCACATATGTATTTATCTCACGCCTTGAAGTAGTGCAACATTTTGCTCATTCATTCCTGCATTCTTAAACATTTATTGAGCTGCCACTGTTTGCACAAGGACGACAAATACTGAGGAGAGAGTAAAAAAGCTGTGGCAGCCACCATGGAGGATTTCAGAGTGGGGAGCAGAAAGATAAATCAGGGGGCTATGTTAACAGCTGTGGTGCAGGTGTGGGTAGAGAAGCACGTGAATGGATGTCAGAGGACTCTGTGGAGGGGGCAGAGCATGCAGGAAAGCTTTCATTTGGACGTTTCCTCTGGACTACACCTGTCTTGGCTTCCTTGGGCTTCACTGCTCTATAATTCCAACAATGGCTGAATCATCACAATAACTTACATTAAAGTACATGAAGGCAGTAATTTAGGTTCAGAAATTCCTATGAAAATGATCAAAATTTTAAAAACATTTTAGGGGATAAAACTTCATTCATGACGAATACTCTTAGGTATGCATCCTCCAGTCCTTTCTGTCCCTGACAAACAAGCCCATCTGCAGATGTCCTTGGCAGGGTTTTACTTGGAGAAGGCAACTCCACTGATAGTTATAGTGAACTGATTGTTTTTAGCTAAGAACCAGAAATAGGTTCTTGTCCAAGGATCAAATAGGTATCAGATTTATTCTTCTACAAGGCTTGCAAACAAATACAAAAACTTGACCAAGGGAAGACATTTTTATTTTTACTGATTATATTAGAGGAGAGAATACATGGTGGTGGGTGTAAGTTGCTATTTGGGGGGTATACATGATTATTATCCTTGGTTTGAGGGTTACACTGAAACGTTTACCACCAAAGAGTATGGTATTTAGATCTGGATAGGTAAAAATCCCAATGAAGATTTTTCTCTCTTGGGAGCAATAACTGTATTTAGCACAGCCTCACCCTGCTATCTCTTTTTCCTACTCCGCACATTTGAAACTGGGTATGCTTACGTGAATCATCCCAGAAACCTCATGACTTCAGGGGCTATAATTGAGGGCCTTTGCTGAGTAGCCCCACTTTGTACCTCAGGTGTCACTGCTATTGGCTATTTATACACAAAGCTGTGGGAAGAGCAGGCCGAGCCGAGAATAGCTTTCACTTAAAATATCAGCCTCAGCAGACGTCATCAATTATACTGTGTGCTGCTCAATAAAAATTGGAGGTTACTATATCAGCTCTGACACCACTTGGTGAAACATAAACCACAGGTAACGGAGATGTGCAGTATTTCATCTTCCAGAAATGAGGAGAACAGCTGAGCTCCTGTGGAAATTGTCAGTGGCAGGGAGAAGTTGTTTCCCTTCCTAAGCTGAAAGGATCCAATGTAGTTAAGGTGGGTTTGCAGCGGGAGAAAACTTACACTTTGCAGAAACAGAACCTGTTGAAAAGAGTCTTCAGAATTCAGATGACAAATATGGACTGGGATGTGGTGGAAAGGGTATCATGATGGAAGTGGTTTGGCCTGGGCTTGAGATGTAAGGGGATAGAAAGAGAAGGAAAGCCCAGCATGGGGCATTGTAGTGTAGTGTGATCATAGAGTGATTTGGGGCAGGTTGGAAGGGGCATTCAATACCATTCAACCATTCTTTTTCTTGGCAGTGGGGAGCCACAGGAAGATCTTGAGCAGGATAACGACATCATGAAGCCATATTTTTAAAGAGTATGTTTCGTGATGTAATAGCTGTAATTAGGGGCCTCCAGACATGCTTACTCAGTAGTCTACCTACAGGATTCAGGTAGCTTCTTAATGTCATCATTAACTATCTTAGGGTCCTGGGTTCTAGGTGTAACAGGTAGGCAGACTTAACAATTTAGCACTCTAGCTTGATCTCTAAAATGCCACTGTAGCTTCTGATTTTCTTAGGTGACTGTGTGAATAGATAGGAGACTCAAAAGTATTCAAGAAATAGTTATTGAGCTGGAGTTGGTCTCTGCCTAAAGTTATTTACTGAGCTTTGAACAACAGGGCTGCATGGATCTAGCACCTGTCATCATGTAACTGACTCCAGGGGGTTAGAAGAAAAGCACCTCACCTGGCACTCTGAACCAAGCCTCCACATGCATAGCGGGTTATCTCTAAGGAAATCATTCATGCTGCATCAGTGGACTCTAACAGCCATCAACTTGAGTTTTTCCAGAGGAAGGCTTTGTGAGGTTAGGGTAGAGAAGCACAATCTTTTTCCCCCTCTAATGATTCAGTGCCATATATCCTCACAGAAGGGATGGACAACAGTTCAGAACTGAAGGGAACAATTATTCAGGGGAGAAATTGTCTTTGTAAAGTCTGCATAGACAGACATCCTGTAGAGAGAGCTGGGCAGGCCTGGGCAGAGGCAGACAGGCTTCTTGTCTTCCATGGGTAGAGGATGTAGAGGGCCAACAATGGGCCCTACAGGAGGCTGGCTGAGGTCCAGAGTGACACAGTGAGTCCAGAGCTTCCAGCGCCCCTGCTACTTTGCCCTGTTAGCAGCCACTTCCCTCTAAGGACGCTGGGAGCATATGTGTTAGTGCTTCTCTGAGTGAGACCTGGTCCAGCAGCTGCTTCCCCAAGAAAACAATCCCTTAACAAGTAAGTATGGGACACACATGTACTCTGGTCCTCTGTAAGAGATTCACAGTGCTCTTTAGCAATGTAAAAAAATAAGCTCTGAGAAATCTTTCAGTTAAACCGCTCATTTCACATACCATTTTCCAACTTTGGCTTTGATCATCTCAGGTGCCCAGAGGGGTAGTGTATTCTGTGGGATACATTTTGTGCATGTGGTCCAGGGTTTTGAAGTCTGGAGTGAGACTCTACAAGTTTAAAACTTGACTGCCACTTAGTAGCTGTGTGCTTCTGGGGAAGTTATTTAACTTCTCTGATTCTAAGCCTCCTCATCTGGAAATGCAATAGTAGTACTTTCAATAATAGCGATGAAAAGATTAAATGAGTTAATATGCATGGATTGTGGCAAGTATTTCATAAGTATTGTCTGAGCAACTAATTGATCTTTCTCATTCCTCCCTCTTCCTATTTAGCTTTCCTCTCCCTGTGGCTCCCCTCCTTTCCCACTTAGGTTTCCTTTCTTTCTCCTGGTATTCCATTCTGGTGGCCCTCAGAGTTATGATGCCTTGAGCCTCTTGGGGCTAAGTTGGTGAGTGACTGTACTGCCCTGCCCCAGGTCCCTGTTACTGGAGCTGAAGGGGGTTGGCTCGCAATGTGTTTGCTAATTTCCTCATTCTGCAAACAGCAAATGTTTGATGTTTAAACCCACTGTACTGGATCATAGGGGCAGCACTAAGGAACACCTCTTGGGGAATTGCTCATAGTTACCAGTCCTGAGATGTCCATCCCTACAGGTGTTGGGTGTGTGTGCTGATGCAGGAGCCAGCACTGGTTCTGGTGGGGATGAAGGGGGACTGGCTCCTGGTAATTGGGAAATATATAGGCTGCCAAGTGTTTATTCAGATGACACAGCTCCACTGTAGTGAAGTAGCACTTTTTGGCCACAATTTGTCCTTCCACATTCTGTACCTTTGACCTGGTAATAGTCACCTAATCCTTTTTCTCTTTTCCCTCCAAGGGCTTGATAGGAAGGTTATGCGGAGAGCTCCAAAGGGAAAGATGTATTGAACCACAATATTACTGTAAAACAATAAAAGGTATTACTTTGAGGATTCACAGAATGGGAGAACATACAAAACATAAATGGATTCTAACAAGTTATTTCAAATTTCTCAGTAGTCCGTTTTGAAAAAGAAACTTTAAGCTTATTCACAATAAGAAAAATTTGTTGTTGTGCTGGAGGATTGGGAAGGCAATTTATGTATACAGTCACTACCTTACTTTAGAATGGCATTCTGGTCACATGAAGATATCCCAAAACGATGGAACACAGATGAATTTAGGTTCTCTGCTGTAGCCATGGCCCACTTTGGAAACAGCCCACTGATTTACTTGGTATGAAATATCATTTG